AAAATCCTGCTGAGCTTTCCCAGTGTTCATTAGGCCCTGTGAGCTCACCACTACCCTTGTAGAAGGAAAAATCTGAATGTTAGCAGAAAGTGGACTAACTATAATAAGGGAATAGATGTTAAATATCTGATTTTCATGTCACTTTCATACCTGACAGAGTATTAAGAGTATAGTTCTGAAGTATTGTGGATCTAATGGCCTCAATGTGTATGTTGAAATCCCCTAGAACAATCATGTTGGAGTTTGTGAGCCTCACCAGCCCTGGCTTGTTTAACAGTGTGTCCTCTTCCATTTTTTGATTCATATACTCCAGACTACCAGGTTGAAACACAACAGGGTTTATTGAACTTGGAAAGAGGTTAGCAACAACTCAACAACTGGGTGGGAATGGCATTCTGTCAGAAAGTCCAGTTAATTCCACTGCAATCGCTTCTGGTTCTTTTAGTTCAAGTCCATTGGCCAAATGTCTCATGCTGGGTCTCACTCTCTGGAGTAAGGGCTGGTATGCCTGCAATGAGGACAAGTATGCAGGGGATTTTCTCCTGTGGAGTTAATGGCCCTCCAGACTCCTTGGTTCCCTTTGCTTTTTTTTCTCCTGACACTAATGGGCTCGCTAACACTTCCTCCACCAGCATTGGCTTTGTATGTGAGTTGGTTCGCAAGTCCTGGGCCACCTGCTTCCTTTCTCAATTTCCCAAGAATGAGGGCCGAGGAGGAGGGGTGGGATACTTGCTTGTTTACCCTGTTGTTACTCAGAACAGGGGTCTTTCTTACAGATGTATTCCCATTTGCCTGTGGATCCCAGTTCTTCTTCCAGGCCTAGTAGTTCCCAGACCACTCTTCCATAGCATCTTCCCCAGGCCTCTTCTCCTGAGTCCTTGTCTTATTCCACATGGACCACTGGGCCTGGTTTTTCTGGAGGTTCCTCAATACCCTCAGCTTCTGCCATTGACTCTCTTTGTTTGTGTATTTTGGCAACTCGTCTCCTAACTCTCTGGCACTTACTACATTAAGCAACAGGATTTCAGCTACTGTGGCATATACTTCCATGGTTTAGAATCCCCTTGGATGATATAATTGTAGCAATACAACACCTTGTCCATTTGTCTCCAGTGTAACCTGGTAGGATAGTTGTATAGTTCTGTGATCTGTGTTATACCATTTTCTGTGATCTTAAAACCACTTGTTTTGCCATTGATCCCCCAGAAATTTTGAAAATTTGTCTACCTAGGCTCTTCATCTGGAATTGCAGTTAGCTTCCCAGACTACTAGTTCACTACATGCAGATTCAGGCTGGGTTAACTTGAAAGTTAACCTGACCTGTATATGCCCTCCTCCTGCCAGGGACTTTCATATGTTGCACAGATGTAGAGAGAACAAAAAACCACAGTCACCTTATGTTTTCTGCCAATTGCATTATTAGAATCGTCAAAATAGATTTATTGTGTCTCTCCGACAGGGGCTTAGTTTGTGTATCATCCCACTAGGGGACTTAAACCATGAGATGAAACAGGAAACAGGAGACACTTGCAATTCAGGGTAATAACAATCTTGTTTGTGTATCTTATCGCTGTTATAATTTTAAAAATCAAAATATGCAAACCTAATGTTTAATTCTTTAGACGTTTCAAATGTCTTAAGGTTTGCATCATGCTAGTAATAGTACTTCTAAATAAATAACACTCGTTTTCCAGAATGAGGTCTGCTTTGAATTGAATTAATATTTAATTACCATTAGTCTGGCATTAAGTAAAAGTAAGCCTTTAAATTGGTGATTCTTGTGGAAAATGTTGAGTTCATTCTTACTCTTTAGAGTATAGTGGTGATGTTGCCCCCAAAACAAAAAGCTTCTATGAAACCACTTTTACATTACTTTAAAAGTCAACTGGAGTAAGAAAGTGTTGTAAATATTTAACATTGGTGGAATAAAATCTATTTATTTTCATATAAAGATGTTGGGTCACATACTGCAAATAGGTTGCTGAACATATTTCATACACTTAGTTTTTAGATTTGTTTTATTCATTTTTAAAGTTGTGTAAAATAGAAAATGAAGAGGAAGGATACTATGTGAATTAGACATTTCAAAGTTCAGGCCTACAAACAAACATATTTAGAAAAATTTGTACCCTTAAGCTTGTTATTGAGAGAAAGTTATTATGTTATTGTGTTTTCTGAACAACCTTCCCTTTCTTTATCTACCTCAGACAGTAGCCTTTTTCTTTTTCATAGAATCAGAAGCTTTGTAATGGATAGGAAAGATGGAGAAGAAGCTGCTTGTTTCTTGGTTAGAGCTTGACCTGTGTACAAGACAAAGGAAAAAAAGGTTGCATGATGGAAAGAAAAACAGTACATGTTGCTACTGCTTCATGTGGTGTCCATGGTATTGTGGCCGAGTCATGTAATGATCTCTGAGTTATATGACATGGTCACACCCTTGGATTCAGAAAGGAGGTTCTAGACAAGCACTTGATAATTATCAGTGGCCAAGTACAGTTCTTTATTGCTTTTCTTCTGAAATCAGCACAGAGGCCCGTTTGTGGTCTTTGTGCACCATTCATCATTTAAATGGTAGCTGTAATTGGGTGATAAGAAACATTTAGGTGGAAGGGAGTGATAGAATTCATGCTCTTATTGGGAAATAATTTTAGTATTTTCATTCATTTAGTATTTGAGAAGCAAGTACATCACATTGAGATATTTAGATATCAGTGCCAACCCTCCCAAGTTTAAGGAACTTTGGAAGCCTCTTGGAGGGCAATATTTTGTTGCTCTATTTTGTAGCTGCCAGCTGGTTAGAGTGTAGCCAGGAACTGGTGTTTATTTGATTGTTTGCTCAGTTTGTGTGCAATCCACTACGGGGACACAAGGTGGTGTACAACAGCTTAAAATATGTATATTTAAAATCACAGTAAATAAAATATTGTTGTTAAATTAAGATTAAACTAACCAAGTGTTGAGAACATCATTAAACACATGAAAGCATATTTAAAATGGCTAGCTAGCAAGAAGAGCTCTTGCCATGCCATTTCCTTTACAAACAAGGCCTGCTTCACATGATTATACTTGATTGTTTACATGTGGTGTGTACTTCTGTTCATCTGTTTATATCTATACTTGCATCTATTTTTCATTCTTCTGTATATAATTGATCTGGCCTAGATCCCTGCTTTTAATATGCCATGGGCAGTAGCTCATTTTCTAAAGTATTTCTAAATGCCTAGTGGCCCACTAGCAGGGATTCCCAGCCTAAGAAGAACCAACTTTGGCTGTATTTATCTGGAATAGGAGAAGTAGAGGTGCTACACTCTCCCCTCTAGTGATACAGAATGGTACTCAGAGGGTACTTCATAAATGGGAAAATGAAGGAAAAAGCAATAGAAGCAAGACCTTGCTGCCTTCTAGTGCACTCAGTGTGTTCCTTCTAGTGCACTCAGTGTGGTCCAGTCGTATCTTGCAGCAAACAGTTTTCCTTTTTCCTTGCTGCCTTCTAGTGCACTCAGTGTGTTCATTCACAGTGTCTATTTTTCTTCCTTTGTGGCTAAATAATGCGAAGAATGAGAACCTACCAGACAGAGAAAGAAAATGTATCTCTGAAAGTGTTGAGGGTGGCGAGAAGCAAGTATGGTCCAGTATTGCTGCCTTCTAGTGCACTCAGTGTGTTCCTTCTAGTGCACTCAGTGTGGTCCAGTCGTATCTTGCAGCAAACAGTTTTCCTTTTTCCTTTTTTCCTGTCCTTTTTTTCCTTGCCAGCAAATACTTTCCTACATACACTTCTCACACCAGCAAGTAAGAAGAGTGTGTGGAAGTTGGAAGTCATTGTTATAAAACACAGAGCCTTTACTGTCCTTTTGATTGATTCCTGCTCCATTTTTGGTTATGTGTCCTCTATCAAATAAGGTCCTCCACCTTTATTCTAATACATACTGTATTTGAAAGCATGCATCATAGGGTCTCATTTAATCAACTCATTGAGTTTATACTTGCTCTTTTACCAGCATGTGTCCTATTAAAAGCTGCGATAGTACTACTTTAGTTTTGGTTGTGGGATGGTTAATTCTAATTAAAGGTTTCTCTGATCATCAGCATTATGTCTAAATAAGCATGTCAGCGTTCACCATGGTTTGAAACAGTTCTTTGGTGTGAGCATTTTAGGGTTGAAATGACACTCAGTTTGCTTAATAATTGCACCCTTAGCACAAATTAGGCTTCCTGAAGTTAATCATATTGGTATCCAGAAAAAATAGCCAGGGACTTGTGGGTAACATATTCTGTTGATATCTGTTCAGCTACTGAAGCAGCAGTGTACATTTGAACTCCAACAACTAAACTGGCATCATTTGTAGTACATGGGATAAAGTCATTTTGCTTAATATTTGAACTCCTTCAGTGCATTTTCAGCTGTGATTCTGTAAGGCATTTGAAGGTACACAGTTTTCATCTAGTAGAAACAAATCTTATAATTGAACAATTTACTACATTGCCCGCTTTTCCTTTAAGAAGCACAAGGCATCACAGATTTTTTTCCCTCCCCATCCATGTTATTTGCAACAATCAGTGAAGTCTGTTAGACTGAATGTTAGTGACGGGCCCTAAGTCACCCACTGAGCTTCCATGAATCTCAGCAGTCTGATGTGTGCTCCTTCCTATAGCTGTGCTTCCATACTGAAGGTAGTTTAGTCTGGAGTGTGAATCAGTTGTGAAATGAGATGGTGATAGAATGGTTAACGTAACTTTTTCAGTGGTTTGGGTTTAGATTGTCTTATGCAGTTGGTGTTGAAATCAAGAGGACTAAAATATGATTAATATTGTTTATGTTTGAGTGATTCCTGATACATCTTATTTTCTTGGTCTTTTCACTGGCTTAGAAAAAAATGTTGAAATTATGTTTAGTGCTTAGCATCCAAAATGTCAGAACCTGTTATATGCAAGTCCTGATAATTTTCTGAAAGTGCAGTCACAACTTAAGAGTTATTGAAGATTTTTAATTCTCTTTCTAGTTGTGTTGGAGTAGAAGAGCACCATGCTGTTGATATCGACCTGTACCATTGTCCCAATTGTGCAGTTCTTCATGGACCCTCCTTAAGTAAGTGATGGATTTCAAAGCAGTGATTAACTTTTATTTATAAAATCATTTATTCAGAAAGGCCCCCAAGGCATCTTGCAAGCATAATCAGTAAAGTTACAATGAAAATTATGCCTTCTGCATGCTTTCAGTGTAAGAGGAGGTTCATGAGAATCCCTCTATATTTAAGACAACAAGAATGTTTTGGACTCTTATTTTCCTACCTAGTTGCCTTTCTCAACTCAGCTTCCAGTGAGATATTTTTGAAAAGCTTCTAATCTTCTTACTCTGTTATTTGTTTAATTCTTTATTTTCTATGGCATTTGGTTTACTGTCTCACCTGGCTAGTTAAAATTATCTGATATGTAATAATTATTTTTCAGAGCTCTAATGTCTTTCTCTGAGGAACTCAGGCATACAAATTCATAACTTGTATCCAGGAGGAGTTCACTTCTTTTCTTTTCTTTTCCTTCCTTCCCTCCTTCCTTCCCTCCTTTTTAGCACCTAACATACTTCTTTGGGGAGCCATATTCAGACTTAGGAAATCTTTCATTGCACTCTTCACCTTTTGATGGGTATCACTAGTTTTGCTAAAATATGCAGTGCTGCCTGCAACCTATCCTTTTATATTTACTATCAATCCAAGATAGAGCTATAGCAGTAGATAGTGAGCTGATCTTTGGGAAGAGTTAATATGACTAATTATGGCCAGAGCGCTTATTTTGCTTATTGACAACTTCTAGAATGGCTCCCTGTTCCCTGTAAACTCTGTACTAGAATCTTAGTTAACTGATGGTTTCCTGAAAAGCTCAGTTCTTGCCTTTACCCTTGCTTTCGATCCTGGGTACAGTTCTTTATGTTTTACAGCTCTGGGGTCATCCCATTATATTCTACAGGGTATAATTTAAAGGTTTTCTGCAATACTTGAAGCTGCTGACATGCCAGAATTTTTTTAAAAAAATATTTTGGTAAAATGTGCCCTATATCTGAATAGTAAGCCTCACAAATGATTTTGTCTTCACATTCTTAGTTGAAACATATTAGTTAAAAATAGAACCTGAAATCTTAGCATCTTTGCCTCATGTTTCAAATACTCCATTTTGGTTCTTGCCATTTTGAATCTCTAAACTGAGCCCCAGGTTGCTAGATCAAGTTGGCAGATGGTTGCTGTGATTTTTTTTAGCTCTGGCATACACATTACACGGGCTACTGTGATTGTGGGAATTTGCTATACTCAAGGAAAAGCAGCAAAGTCCTTCCTTTCTAATGCCAGGAAGCCAATAGGGTTGTCAACAACTAGCTTTTCTCAGTGAACCTGGATCAGAGAAAAATTGTTATTCCATTTTATTTCACAATTACTATTACTATTGCTCTCCTGTAGTAATAGATTGAGATATCTCCTAATTTAATGCATCTGTTTATATTTGTGTAGTGTCTTGAGAATTTCAGTGTCATTTAGTTACTAATATTCTAGTTATCTATTGAAATGGGAAAAAATACACCAGGTGTTAACAAATATTCCTGAGGATTTATGTTTGGAAATACAGAGTTGGCAACTTGAAAGTATTCCAGAATATTAATGGACCCTCTTATTATTGTCTGCAATGCTGCTTTTCATATTGAATCACAGTGGCTGAAATCCAGATGTAGGTCACAGCTAGGGTAGGCTTATTGAATCATTGGGAATTTTGTGAGTCAATTCTTCTGTAAGTTCCACTGATTCAGTGGGCCTACTCTTGTTGTGACTTACATCTAGATGTCAGACCGTGTTTATTGATCCCTTTTACCTAAAGTGTGTTTTCCTAAGTATGTTCTAGATCAGGGGTCTCAAACTCAATTTACCTGGGGGCCGCTGGAGGTAAAGTCTAGGTGAGGCTGGGCCACATCAGATTTTCTGCCAAGTGGAGGAAGAGCTCGAGGAAGCTGCCCAGGAGTTTCCTTAGCCTGGTTGGGGCTCTAAGGAGGATGAGGGGTGCGCAAGCCCTCATCGCCAGCCATGACCCCCTCTGGGTGTTTCTTCACTACCACCACCACCAGCAGCAGGACGAAGAAGCAAGAGAAGGGAGGGGGCGCCGGTGACTGCCTAGTGGGGGGGGGGAGGAGGGCACGACATAAAGTTTTAAAAAACCCTCACAGAATCACCTTGCTAAAGGAGAAAAGCCCCCATCAGTGCCCGCGAAATTAAACAGAGTGGGGCGTCCCCCCTACAGGTGTGCGCGCATGCACACACACAAACACATGGAGGTCCGACAACCTTTCTCTGAAGGTCTCCCCTCAAAAAAAAGCACACTCAGCAGCAGCAGCTACCCCCACCATGACAGAGGAGCAAACTTTGCTAGCCGAGCCCAGGCAGCCTCCAGAGCAGAGGTGGCTGAAGCTGGATGAAAAGCCCAGGGAGGAAGCACCGCCGGGCACTGAGGCGGCTGCTGGCCGGGCTGGTGCTGGGGGTGCAGAGAGAGAAAGAGAGCCAAAGAGCCACTTCCCTGGAAGAGGCGGCGGCGGCGGCAGCTGCTGTTGGTGGCTTGGAGGCGCTCTTCGAGGACGGGACGGGAGTGAGCTCTGCTCTCGGGCATCCCTTGGCAGCGGCTCAGGCACTCAGGGAAAAGGGCCAGCAGTGCACCTTGCATGCTGACTCTCCCCCAAGACAACGCCTCTTGCACCCTCCATCCGGAACTGCAGCTTGCCAGCCGGCAGACAGGCAGGATGGCTGGCAGGCTGCAGTTCCGGACGGAGGGTGCAGGAGGTGCTATCTTGGGAGAGAGCTGGCAAGCGAGGTGAGGGTTTTTTTAATTCTTGACAGCAAAGGACGCATGGGCGCTTCGGGGGGAAGGCAATGGCGGGCCGCAAATTGCCCCCGGGCTGCATGTTTGAGACCCCTGTTCTAGATAGAAACTCATATATCAAGTCAGGATGATCATTTACCATTTATACAGCTTGAAGGAAATTTACACATTCATTGTAGTCTTTGTGTTTTATTGCATAACAAAACAATTCCTTATTTTCTTCCTTTCCACCTGCAGTATTGTAGAAATAGGATTTTTCCCTATTTGTGTTTTTAAATAGAATCAAATCCTTTTTAGAATAAATGATTCTCTAATTTTAAAAAAACATAGTTTATGGGAGTTTTACTACTTGTCTATGTTATTAGCCTTCTCACAGACATACCAATTTTGTCCTGTAGAGGAGTTGAATTACATCAGAAGCTTTGTCTTGCATCTTTTGTAGTGCAGCTGCTTACCTTAATAACTGTCAGATGCCATTGGCTCCTTTCCAAAGTTGTCATTGAGCTTGAAGAAACAGGTGTGTATACATGGAAAGAATGATATGCATCGTTCTCCACAAAAATATGCACACTGAGGATGGGTGCACACAAAACGGTTGCTACGTGGAAGCTGCTTTAAATGGTTCTCTACGGCAGCTGCCTCTATATAGCAAACTGTTTGTCTTCATCGTCCCGGCTACCACATTCTTTTTATCTTTTGAGGACCTGTGGCTGTGTACAGAAAATGTCTCAGGTCTTTGGGGTGGGCAGTTACATTCAATAGTTTGAAGAACGGAATCAGCTTTTTTTGGAAATATATCAACATACAGTGGTATATGCTGGGTCTTATGTGCTTTTAACAAATGAATGTCTTTCCTGGCAGACCCAGGTAATTTGGCAGCCTTGCTTACCATGAAGTAGTACAGTAGCATTTTGATTACTGTTCAGAGTTTAGCTTGTGGTATATGTTTTAGTTTGAGTCAGATTTCAGTCTCCATTTAGTAATAAATGTGATTTGTGAACATATTGGGAAAGTTGGAGGTCAGTCAAACATATGTGGTAATAATACTCCTCTGTTCATTCAACTACTTGTAACAATGTGATGTATCAGTTTTGAAATCATGAAAGCATAATGAATGTGCAGTGTCTAGATAGAATGGCTGATAACTTCCCAGTATGTACATAAGCAGATCTTTATAAGAACATAGAACAATATACAAAATATCTCAATACTGCAATTCTTTATAGCCATTGGGATGTAGATGATACTTTGACATGAAGCAAAAGAACAAAACACTGAATTTATTTTCTCATTGTTTGAAGGATGGTTAAGAAACTTAGAAAATCTTTATTTAAGAGATTTTAATACTCCCTTTTCTTTGATTGGGATCACTGTCAGTCACGAAACAGATTGAAGCACTTGGATTAGGGAGACCTGAAATCAGATATCTAGGTCCATAGGTTACTGTGGACCGGGCCATCAACATCATAAATGTTTCCCTGAAGTAGGGCTACCTCCTGCCCCCACATGAAGGAAACTATTGTATGGCCCACCCTGAAATGGTCAAATTTGACAATGGGTAACGTAAATAATTTTAGGCCTCTTGCCTGTCCCCTTTATGGTCACAGTAATCGAGTGGGTCATGGCAGAGCAGTCCAGATGTTCCTAGAGGAGAAGAATTGCCTTGATCCATTCCAGTCCAGGTCAGGCCATGTCATGGTACGGAGACAATACTGGTCACACTGCACAATGGGCTTTTAAGGGAGTCTGATGGGGGAGGAATGGCCCTGTTGGTGCTTCTGGATCTCTCAGCAGCTTTTGATACTGTTAACCACAGTATCCTCCTGGATAGACTGTTGGGTTTGAGGATTCGGGGATTGGCAGTCAACTGGCTAGTCTGTCTTCAGTGGTTGGACCTAGAGAATGCAGCTTGGGGAAGAATTGTTGGCCCCATGGACCTTTAACTGTGGCATGTCCTAGGGGGTCATCAGTTTCCCCAGTGCTTTTTAACATTTATGTTCAGCCATTGGGATTGGTCATCCAGAGTTTGAAGTGTGTTACTTTCAGTATGATGATGACATGTAACTCATTTCCATCTTCTGCAGTAGATGCTGTCTGGGTGCATAAATGCTCGTTTTTTAGTCGTTCAGTCGTGTCCGACTCTTCATGACCCCATGGACCAGAGCATGCCAGGCCCCCCTATCTTCCACTGCCTCCCGGAGTTGTGTCAAATTCATATTGGTTGCTTTGATGACACTGTCCAACCACCTCATCCTCTGTCATCCCCTTCTCCTCTTGCCTTCACACTTTCCCAACATCAAGGTCTTTTCCAAGGATTCTTCTCTTCTCTTGAGATGGCCAAAGTAGTGGAGCCTCAGCTTCAGGATCTGTCCTTCCAGCGAGCACTCAGGGTTGATTTCCTTTAGAATTGATACGTTTGTTCTCCTTGCAGTCCAGGGGACTCTCAAGATCTTCAGTTCACAGTTCAAAAGCATCAATTCTTCGGTGGTCAGCTTTCTTTATGGTCCAGCTCTCACTTCCATACGTCACTACAGGAAAAACCATAGCTTTGACTATGCGGACTTTTGTTGGCAAGGTGATGTCTCTGCTTTTTAAGATGCTGTCAAGGTTTGTCATCGCTTTCCTCCCAAGAAGCAGGGGTCTTTTAATTTCATGGCTGCTGTCCCCATCTGCAGTGATCATGGAGCCCAAGAAAGTAAAATCTGTCACTGCCTCCATATCTTCCC